TAAGTGCTAGGCTATTTCTCATCCGACCTGAAATAAATGGATTTTGAGCCTGCAAAAGAGCCTCACAGTGCAAGAGGGCTCCATAAACACATGGGCATAACTCTCTCTCTCTCCAAAAGAACACAATTGCTACACACATCAATCCAAGCAATGTTCATCTGATAGACATGCAAAATCTAACCAGCCACAAAGTAGCCACACATCAACCAGTCGATCATCGGACTCTGGTGAGCCTTGTGCAGATGGGAAGTGGGCACCAAGGCTTTCTCAGAGATTGTGCGAGGGCGATCTCCGAGAAAGACTCCAGCAAAATCCATCACCTTCTATGGATGTTAAACGAGCTTGCATCTCCTTATGGAGATTGTGATCAGAAATTAGCATTTTATTTCTTGCAAGCCCTCTTTTGTAAGGCAACAGAATCTGGCCAAAGATGCTACAAAACCCTTACCTCAGTTGCTGAAAAGAGCCACTCTTTTGATTCTGCTAGGAAGTTAATACTAAAGTTCCAAGAGGTAAGCCCATGGACAACTTTTGGTCATGTAGCATCAAATGGGGCAATATTGGAGGCCTTAGAAGGAGAGAGCAAACTTCACATAATTGATATAAGCAATACCCTTTGCACTCAATGGCCTACTTTGCTAGAAGCCTTGGCCACAAGAAACGACGAGACGCCACATTTGAAGCTTACTGTTGTGGTAACTGCTAGCCTCGTAAGGTCAGTCATGACCGAGATATCCCAAAGAATGGAAAAATTTGCAAGATTAATGGGAGTTCCCTTTGAATTTAGGGTAATAAGTGGGTTAAATCACTTGGGAGAGCTCACAAAAGAGGGACTAGGTGTTCAAGAAGATGAAGCTATTGCAGTTAATTGCATCGGAGCCTTAAGAAGAGTAGAAGTGGAACAAAGGGCGACCGTGATTCAAATGTTCCAATCGCTTCATCCTCGAGTCGTGACAGTTGTTGAAGAAGAAGGTGACTTCTCAAGCTCTAGAAATGACTTTGTGAAGTGCTTTGAAGAGTGTCTTAGATTCTGTACACTATATTTCGAGATGCTAGAAGAGAGCTTTGTCCCAACTAGTAATGAGAGGTTGATGTTGGAAAGAGAATGCTCAAGAAGCATAGTTAGGGTTTTGGCTTGTGAGGATGATATTGGTGGGGGAGATTGTGAGAGAAGAGAGAGAGGAAGCCAATGGTCCGAGAGGCTCAAGGAGGCCTTTACGCCATTCGGGTTTAGCGAGGATGTTGTTGATGATGTTAAGGCACTGCTGAAGAGGTACAGAGCTGGATGGTCACTTGTGCTAGCTCAAGGAGATAACTCAGGAATCTACTTGGCATGGAAAGAGGAACCCGTAGTATGGGCTTCAGCATGGAAACCCTAAAACTGGTCAGTAAAGAAATCAGCCATTCGCTCTCAACTCAAGCTTAGCAAGGCATTTATTTGATGTTTTTAGACGCCATGAACAACTGAACATAGAGAGAGAGAGAGAAAGAGACTTGTTTTCCTCTTTTGTTCTTCTACTTCTTCTTCATACACAATTGTGTGTATTTTAGGGACCAACTTTTCTTCTGCTTTATGCTTGGGAGTTTGTGTTGCTTCTTTTGCTTTTCTTAGATTGTGCTTGTTTCTAAGTGGTTGCGTATGAGATTCCATTATCATTTGCTTGTTGGATTAGTTTCTTTCTCTTTCTCTTTCTCTTTCATCCATTACGGATTTCATCTGTGTTGTCCGATGCTCTTGTTCATTGCTGTAAGTGGCCATCTCACATGCATACACATTGCAAAACTTTTTAGTGATTTGGTTGATCAACCAATTAGTTCTTTTGTGGAATGGTTTCTGCCTAGTCTTCGGGGTTTTGCAAATGACACCTCGCAAGACTTTGTATGAATTGTCAAAAGAAAAAGACCTTGTTAAAACACAAGCTCTTTGAAAAAAACAATTACAATAGTTGCGGATAACCGAGAAAGTGACCACACATAAGGAAAAAAATCGAATGATATAGGAAGCTGCAAAGAAGCTTGAAATGAACTAAAGCATAAGTTTGATGAGAATGATCTACCTCAAACTTAATCAGTTTAGGATTTTTTTCTGAAAGATATAGGAAGCTGCAAGGAAAATTTTCTCCAGTTTCTGCTTCTCTTAATCATCATTCACGTGCTTCATCAATTGAATCTTGTAACCCCTACAAGAAATTTTAAAAAGAAAACTGGCGATCAAAAAGTCATGCCCAAAAGGACTTTTTTTCATCACTAAAGCCTTTGGCGATGATACTTGGTACCAAGTAAGATAGTAAAAAGGTGATTAATGTGTTTTACAATGCAATTAATAGATAACTTTTAAATTCAACTTCCAATATTCTTCCTAATAAAGAAATTTCAAATTCCCTCATAGGTGACAAAGCATTGTTCAATCATCAATGTCCTTAGAATTATAGGATCCATGATGGTTTTGTATGTATTCCATTCTTAATAGATATTGATGCACACATGGGTGTATTCAATCTGAGAAAAGTATTACTCCAACATCTCAAGCAGCATAATGTTGATTGGGTTACATTTTAATTGTCAAATTTGTTGATCAAATCTATCATTGTCCGTGTATTGACAATGGATCCATCCCATATCAGTTAGATTTTCTATCCAATATTATCAAAATCATTGACGTTGGCATGACAAAAATAAACAGTTTATTGTATGTCAAAATTAAGTTTAGGGGATTTACCATGCATATAATTATGAGCAAGAATCGAAAATAGATTGGCAAAAAGAAGATGGAGCCCACTAGAAGAACTTGGTGGCAAGCAGAAGTACACCAACTAAATCCCATGGTTGCCTTTGTGTCTAGTGACATGAATAGCATATTTCCCTTTAATTTGCGTACACACATGCATGGAGCTCCAGCCTTCGGCCAACATCACATAGTGGGAATAAGCTTTTCTAGATTTAGATAAGACTAGTGCTAAACTAGTCCAGTTGCACTTTGCTGCTTTCTTTATCCTTTCTTTCTGTTAGGTTGGCAACTTTTGTGTTTTATGTTTTCTGATCGGTAGGCTGGCAACTTGAGGGGCGGAGTCAGCATTGCATCTTAGTGGGGGCAAAATATAGACAAAAAACTTAATCAATTAGTATAAAAAAATCTTTTTCGGATCTCCATTAATAAGGATTGAATTGAGTGTTATTTTTAAATGAGGAATTCTTAAGCTAAAATATAACAAAAATATTAAGACATAAGACTCAACTACTATGTGAAAATCAAGAGATTAATACCAATCTAGCATTATTAAAATATAAAAAACCAAAAACAATAATTTTTTCCATAGTATATTTTCACACCATCATATATGAAAGTGTCACACAACACCATTGTTACGAATCTCAAGAATCGTCTATAATTTTGGACAATTTTATGATGAAATTTCTCTATAATTTCTTTTAATCTATTCAAGAAGTTAATTTTTTCAAAAAAGTATAAATGATTTTGGGTTTTTACCATATTTTAATTTGCAATTATTTGTGTTACTACGTTACGATCCACTAGCTTATCAAAAAATAATTAGAGGCAACTATACAATTAATTCTTAAAAAATAAAGTTTATTACTCAAATAATAAAAGTATTGTCTCCTGCCAATATGTTTGCGTTAGGGTATTTTACACCTGTTTTACTCAATAATGAGTAGTGTTATGTATCCTAAATTTGTAACTCAAATTTACATCTCAAATCAAGGAGGACCATTAGATCAGTGGATCCCATCTAAAAATAGAAACAACTAGGGCCACTATACAAATTTCTAAGAATTTATGGGGGCAATATATGGACTTTTGAATTTATGGGGTAGGGGACAACATTCTTTAAAATTTGTAATCTATAACAATACCTCGAGTTTTCCTCAAAATTCGGTGGGGGCAATTGCCCACAGCTCGGTACATATAGCTTTGCCCCTGGGCAACTTCATAATGTGTGTGTATATATATATATATATAAAGAGGGAGACACACACACCCACATCAAAGGAAATTATTCCCTTTGTAAACTGGTTTCTATCATTTTACAAAAATCTTATACATAATCATATTAATTCTCTTGAACAATTCCATAAAAAATGGAATACTGATGATAATTTTTGTAGCAGATACAACCAATCTGTTTTTCTTGATAACTTGAATTAAAAGATTAAAATGCTTGAAATGTTTTTGTTTTCCAAAAAATAGACAGAACTATATAAATATCAAAGGATTGTACAAACAACAAGGTGCCATGTACTGGTACCCTACCCCAAAAAAAAAAAACAGATTGTATACCTAGCAAACAATACAAAAGCTAACTATAGGAAGTATTGGCCTGGAGCCATTACTTCCACCCAAATACTGTTTCCAAATAGTTAGAAGTGGAATCAAAACAAACAAAGAGCAATGAAGTTCTGAACTTGGAATTGAAGAAAAATCAACTCAAGCAGACTTCCGTTGAGTCCTCTTGAATTTCAAGCAAAAGGGCTTTTTTCTAATGGTTTGCCATTTTGCATTACCACTTGAGAAAAAGAATTAGGGTCCCCGCTCTGGCCTCTGAAAATCCTAGCATTCCTTTCACTCCACAAAGAATAAACTGTAACAGAGAGACTTAGCTTTAGAATAGTTGTCTTCATTGATTTTCCTCTCCATTGTTGAGCTGCCCATGCAATTGACCCTAACCATTGTCTCTGCTTGTTGCTTTGGAGCATTACAACATTCCAAACTCTGTTTGAGAACTCGCATTAAAAAAACAGATGGTTGTGTGTTTCTTCTTGCCTTCTACATAGGACACATTGTGTATCAATCTGATTTGAGAACCTTTGTTCGGAGTAAGCGGTGTTAATAAAGCTAAGAGGTGTAAATAAAACTCCCCAACAAATTTGACAGTCTTAGCTTGGAAAAGGGGCAACTGGTCATCTGCTTGAACCGCTCTTTGAATTCCAATTAGCATGTTACTGGTAAAGGCAAAGAGCCTATGATCACCCAACCCTCTTACTAGTAATAAAAAGAAGCGGGTGAAGAAAAAATCCTCTGAAAAGGGAGTTTTGAATATCTATATAATAAAGTATAATACAATTTAAATTTTAAAAAATAAATAAAATAATTTTTGTGTTTCGCGGTTGAGATCTTTTTAAATTTTATTTTAAAATTAATCCGACAACTAATATTAACACTCCAAATTTAATAGGAAAAATAGACCCTTAAAGATATATTTGGAGTAATTTTTTAAAAGTTCTTCTTAGGCTTACAACTTTTCATAAATATTTTAAAAAAAAGTAGTGTTTAGAACTGTACCACCATCACTACCATCACCACCACCACCACCTTCACCGCACCACCACAACTACCCCCACCGCTACAACCACCACCACCATCACTACTACTACCACCACTACCACTATCGCTGCCGTTATTACACTACCACCTATGCCATAACAACCACCATTACCGTCCCCACCCCACCACCACCACCGTTGATGTCACCCTACCATCAACACCATCTCTATTGCCCATCATCATCGCTACCACCCCACCACCATCTCTACCACCCCACTAGCACCTCTTCCATAACAACCATTATCATCATCCCATAACAACCATCGTCGTCGCCACCACCACTATCGCCACCCCACCACCACCATCTTAACTACCACCACCACTATTGCCACCACCACCCCCTCATCGCCCCACTCTACCACCATCACCCCTATCGCCACTCTACCACCATCACCTCTTCCACAACAGCCACTACCACAGGCCCACTACCACCACCGTCACCGCCATCGCCATCCTATCACTACCCCACCACCACCATCCCCACTACCCCTACCACCACCATCACCACCTTACCACTACTATAATTGTCACTGTCTCACTATCACCTTTATCACCACCACCACCACCACCACCATTACCATTATCACCCACGTCTGCCACCATCACAATCGGTCAGCGTCATCCATTACAACCATCACCGTCTTCCACCACCACTATTCGCCCCCATTACAACCGGTGCTTAAATTCTTTCCTCTATCTTTGTAATTTAATTTTAAGTGTGAATACAAATATGCTTATTGTTGACCATTTTTTTTATTATTCCGTGTCTTCAGGCACGAAAAATAACTAGTGCATAAATATCTCAAAATAAAAAAATCTCATACTGTAACACCCCAAAAACCAGGGGATCCTTAATTTAACAAAATTTGGGCAGAGTTTTCTTTGTACGGGAGCTCTACCCAAAATATAACCTGTTATACTATATTGACCACACCGGGTCCATTTATCCATACTCAAATAACCACATGTAATTTTTTTTTTTTTACATTAAAACAGTCTATATAAGTTCGATTTGTAACGCCCCAAAATCCCCTTGGACGACATTCCTATCTAAAACTATTCACATCATAAGAGCAACTAAATGGATTTCATAACAAAAGAGAATTTCTTTCATCATCCACAATATATACAACATCATCTAAAATAATATGCCCAACTATGGCAATTACATCGAAAAAAAAATTAACTATTATCTTGTAGCGAAATAACGAAAATATTAGACTT